GTGAGGGGCCGCGGTTGGCGGCCGTGGGTGGTCAAGCTCGCGGTCGTGGCTAACTGTGACCAATTGACCAATCGCCGCCTCTGAATAACTACACCCGCATCCCGCCCAGCGGGCTCAGATCGCACCAGAAATTTGCCCACTCTACAGAAATATACATAGTCTCCCGGATGAAAGAATATGAGGCTATGTTAGGTGTTAGAATGTGTTTGTGAGTGGTTATAAAAACCAAGGGTATTGATGGCAGTGCTCCCATTCCATGTCCGTCAAAAGTTCCGGGACTCGGAACTTTTTTGTTCCAATTTCTCCCACTCCATGACCGTCAAAAGTTCCGGCAAATGCATAAGATTCGGAAAATTTTGGGAATTTCAAGAGCTTCGGAAAAAATTCAGGAAAATCTCAAAAGTTCCGGAATTTTGAGCAAGTTCCGGGAAATGGGAGCACTGATTGAATGATGAAATCCCCCCCCCATACCTTTTATGCATAAATAGACCGAGTTCATCGGAAAGGAACCAACCCAAATTAAGTCGAAATGATTGTGAGAAATAGAGGTTTAAAGTTTCATTCCTGCATAAGGCTCAATGTAGAAATTTAACTTTAACCCTCTTTTCACAAACTAATTTCTGTTTTCGACTTTAGATTTTTCAGACCATTGGCAGGAGAAAATAAAAACTAATAGTAAACTTGAAACTATAAATAAACCACTAGTGAAATTCAAAAACCTTATTAACTCTATTTGTTCAAAAATGTGGGTTGGTTCCTTTCTGATGGACTCTGTTCAAATAAGAGTAAAGATCAGGCGAGAGGGAAGGAGTTCTCACAGAAGTGAGATTCAGGGCTAAAAAATAATCAAAATGCATTTAAAATATATTACAGGCGTTTAAAATAAAGAAAATATTCTCACACCGTCTGAACCTCTGCCACCATTTTGTTGTTCAGGGTGTTGCACGAAATTCCACTCTTGCCATAGACCACAGAAATTTGGCGTCTGTGGTCGAAAATCGAAGTTTATTGTCAGAAGCAGGTTAGTTCTGTTGAGCGTTGAGTGGTGAATGTTGGTCGTCACTCAGCTGAAGGGGGAAAGGGGGGAGGGTGCCCCAATGTCGAATCAACGCGGAAAGTGCCGTAAATCCTCCATCAATCCACTTTATATGCTCTCTGATTCACGTTTGGACTCGGGTCGTTATTTTCCGTAACTCGGAATATTCCTGACAATTCTCGAAAACCTGGACCACTTCTCATGCGCCTTGTTCAATGAACGTTGTTATTAACTTGTCAATCTTAATAGTACCCCGGTGTTAAACATTTTCATGGATAAAAATTCAACGCATAAATAAAAGGTAAATTTTACATTTCTGTCTTCAAAATATTCTCATCGAGAGTATTCGATACAGAATATTTGTATGGCATTCAAGTCAGACTTTCATAGGGGTGTTAAGTCAAGACAGAAGTTCCTACAATATCTATTGGGCGAGAACGCATATTTGGTCATATAGAGTAGTGATAGGTGGAATTCATTCATTTCGCAATGAGTAACCAATATTTTTGGCTCATCAATCAAAGCAACGGTCTGGATTGGGAACTAAATACGTCACATTGCCACACACTTTACTGAATATACACTACCGTAAAAAAAAAATGAATTGTAGAAAAACGATTATCGTCCGCCGTGCATTGACGTCAGAAGCTTTAAACAAAGGTATCACAGATTAATCTATTCTGAATCTGTTAGGCTCCTCTCCGCCATAGTTGTTGAGCTTGTGCGCCATTTGAACGCGTATTCTTGATAGTATACTAGTATACTGGTATACTGGTATACTGGTATACTCCAGTATTCTAGCATTCAAGAGGCAGGTTGAATCAAAAAGAGCTAGCTATTGACTGAGCGTTTAAAATAATCTATCGTTTAAAGAAGTGAAAAACTTGGTGGTTTAGTGAAAAAGTTGGTTGAATTTCGACATGAGATAAGTACGGCATGGGAAAATAACTGAATTTTTTTTTTTTTTTATTCTTTTTTTATTACTGATTAATGGAAGAGCTGGTGAAAAACAACGCCTTTTTTATATCATTGATCAATTGATCATATTCATGTGTTTCCACGAATTGCGTGATGAAATGGAGACGACACAAAAACTCGTGGAAACATATTTAAAGCGCGCGTCAAGAGGGGCGATACTAGTGCGTTCACTAAAAACGTCGCATGATTATTCAAATGATGCCGAATATCTCTCGATAACATTTTAATTTTTATTTACGAAAGTTATGAAAATTATTCCTTGAAGCTTTCGGATCCTGTAGATTGGATTGCGAATAAAATTCTCTGAAAAATTGGAAAAAATTATTCATAAGTTTTCGATATAATTGGTATTTTATTTAAGGAGATATGGCAAGGCTCATAAAACGTTCTTTTTTTTTTGGCACGGCAGAAAAGAGAGAGACCAAGGGGCCAGTTGCGATGCTTGGTAGTTAGTGATATTGGGGTTGCCTTTTTTTCACCTTCATTTTCGGGTGAGTCACAAGAGCAAGCACACATTGACAAAGTTACCAGCTTTGAGTTATACATATGTGGATATATGATAGGAGATTAAATGAGAGAAAAGTACTGATTTTACAACGCTATCGGGCAACAATTTACATCGATATATTGAACGGATCTGTCCGATATCTCGATTTTCACTCACTCCCGTTGTATATAGATTCACTTTTGAATTAGGCGAGGCAACCTGTTTCGATTTCGATGGATATCTACAGTGTAAAAAATGACAAATTTCACTTTTGTGCCTGGTGCGCGACAACACGACAGCAATTTTTGCGTTTCTGACACTTGGAAGTACGCATCTCATCGATCGATCCCACGTCATCTTGTCACATTTGCATCAACTTACAGAAAAAATTCGCGTAATTGCGCCGGACGCAATTCCGTTCGAGAACTTTTTACACAAATATTGCCCACCTTTAGTCGTCATAAAAATGGAGGTTCAGTCGCATCGTACTTTTCACCTCAGCTGTCGTCGAAGTCCCGAGTTCGACATCACAGCTTTTCAGTGACCTAGAATGGGTATGTATTGAATCTTGAATTTATGTTTCTCAAACGCAATCGTTCGGCAGTTACTAGGCATTGTTTCACCAAGAAACGTGACAGCTTATAATTATCATTATTTTATCTCCAACTTCAAAATGACACACGCAAAAATAATTTTTTCAGTACCTATAAAACAAGATGTAAATTTTTGTGTTGATTGTGTGAAGGATTGTGATAATAGGAGTGTATTTCAGACTTTCCCGATGCGCTCATCGTGATTTTGAAGCCAATTCCTACAAGAAACAACTCCTCCTTTTGCTCTGGCTGAAGTTTATACGCAATAGACCCATAAGGTAGAACATTATTGAAGAAACATGATGTGTAACTTTCACAGAACTCATGGTTGATTTGAAATCAATCACTTGTTTTGTAAGAGTTAGATATCATGCTTTTCTTCGTCAAGTGCTTGAATCGGTGAAAGAAAATCATATATTGATTAGTTTCTTAAAGTAAAGAACCGTATGTATAGGTATGTTTTTAAATCTAAAAATCATTCTATCTTTTCCTAGTTTATCTCTCGTTTTACCAGCGACTTCTGTGCACGGTAATATCACTAACCATCGTCAGAGGCACCATCTTTAAAAAAGTCAAATTCGAAGGGGGTGACACAGTGATTGTCCCACTAATCCCTATACCGTTTGGACCGCTGATTGGCCCCTACCATAAAGTGTTCGCCCTATCCAGAACAGAACTGCTTCAGCTGAATCCCTCTCGCGGCAATATCTGGATGACTGAGATTAAGATAGTGGGTCGCAACTTTTACAAGTGAGTGAAGTTCCTTTTAAAAAGAATGTTTGAACTTATGATAAGAAATATTAGAAGAAACCTCAATACGTAAAATACAAATGCATGATGCTATGAAATATCATTTTATGAAGTGCATTTTATTAATTTAAAGAATGTTTTTCCATGGTAAGCAATCCGTTTTTATCTAGTTTTCTCTGTGAGTGTTCCACAATTTTGAACCGTTGTGGCTCTTGGTGTCGATGATGTAGAATCTATTCTTGTTCGGTTAAATCAGTTTTGCACATCAAAGGACGCATCAGAAAGATGTCAGAGCAAATACTACATGCTACGGACAAACGGCGTATGAACTACTATGTATGATTCGTGTTTAACATAGAAACTCATCAAGTCGCGCATCAAATTAACAAGAAAACGAGATTTGACGTTTTATAACTACATAAGACTTAATGTCAAGAAAGACGCTCAACCATTATTTCCAAGTTCAAAATAGTTTTTCTTGACTTGAATTTTTGACGGAAGAAAATTAACGATTGGTCGATTTCAAAACTAATCTCAACTCATTATTTTCCAAAATAATACGACTCGGCAGTCGGCACGTTTCTCGCGAACTCGGTCAAGAATACAGTGACGTTTTCTGACTAAGCTTTTATGGGCATAGCTTCAAAATTTCTACTTCTGAAAATTCTGCCACATGGGTATAGCTCCGTCCGACACTCCACTACACACGAACCCCCAACCTTTTTCAGGTTCCCTGAGCGCTACCAGCCAGCCGCTGCAATTAAGCCGGATCCTACAAGGCAACCAATTGGCCCAAAAGGTATCCTTTTGGCTCGAAGATTAGCGGGACTCCATCTGCCTTATCACTCGTTTACGTGTAACTGCTACCATTACACTGATTACTTGACCTACGGAAGGACCTTCGGCGAGAAATGGTCCACGTATCCCCCTATCAGTGATGCTTGCCCGCTCCACCTGAGGATAAACTCCACTACTAATGTTATTTCCAGGAGCTTTCAGTTGGAGGACAAAAAAAATAACAAGTTTCAGCTCAAATCCCTCAGGTTGCAGGATTTCCTTGCACTGAAAGAGTTTTGAAGTGATTCGACGCAGCGCCGGATTCAGGATTTTTGGGCCCAGGTGCACTGTGCAGTCTGTGGTGCGACCCCCCCCCCCCCCNAAAGTTTACCTCCTCGGAGAAGGGGGAGGGGGTGACGTTCCGAACTGACCCAGCGCAGGTGAGCAGTGGGCAATGGCGAATCCAGAGACAGCTTGGGGTGATGGCATCTGAATATATAGAGCGGGGCAATCTACATGAATTGGTATCTATTGTTGTCTACAAATCCTGGTATCCTCATTGTAAAGAATGTTTCATTTTATCTCATTCTGTTTTGGTGGATAACGGATTGCACATAATAATAAAAATTTCAATAAATTCAACCTCGAATTTCTTTGGAAGGCAGTGTACGCCTAAAGTATATGCAGGAAACGCTAAATGAGGGGACCTATTGTCACGCGGGTAATTTTGTATCCAACCATGCAAACTTCATAAAGCCATGCATACCTATTAAGTATAGACAAACTCTACATAGATGCTATTCAGAAATCATGTATTTTAAGGACCTTTTCTTGTAAGCAATGAAATCAGATGAGGGACAAGTAAAATTCAGAAGTTAACTCTATTTTTCGTCTGATGATGATTGATTAGCGATTTGTCGCGCAAAAAATGAAATAAAACTCGCTTAATGATGACTGATGAATGTTGGGGCGAACACTTTTCCGGGTGAGTTTTTGCAGATCAACAGATAAGGTTAAGATTGCTAAACCAATTGGTCAACTCTTTGGTCATGAGTCATTATCAAGGAAATCTGAGCGTCGGCTTCCGGAAGTAACTCTCACTTCGAAGAGAGATAACAGTGTTGAATAGTATATTATTTCTGTTGGTTGACGAATAAATCATATCTAAACGTCTCTTTAATGAACTTTAGTGCGCCTTCAATTGTTTGTCTATGCAGCAGGGACATCAGTTTAGCAGGCACAGTTATATTCAAGCTTTATAGGCAAAAACCATTCCGCCTTCAATTTCGGTGATGCAACACGTGTATCCGTTGAGTACGAGTAGTTGCATGAAGGCGTTCCATCTATTTCCAATCTCTCAAGTAAAAGAAAAAAAAAAAATTCAGGAAGAATATCAGGAAGTGCTCATTGCTTTGGTCATGAGTCATCAGGCGAACCTAAGCGTTAACTTTCGAAAGCAACTGTATACACGCAGTCTCTGATATATACATAGTCTCTGATATACAGTATCTGATACATGGATCACATTTTGCAATGAAGATCCACTATCTCTGGCTCTTCCAAAAAAGCACCTTCCTGCATAGGGCAACCAGTGGCATATACGTTGTATCTAAAACGAGCCAAACATAGTGGTTCCTCATTGCAAAATGTGGTCCACATAGTCTCTGCTGCTATTAGTTGAACGTATTTACGCCAAAAGGAACTATGTCTCACGCGAATTTTATGCACATAGTTCTGTTTAGCATAAATACGACCAGTTGTCCTATCAATACGGGGAAGATTCCATGAAATTATACTGACTATGAAAATGACTCATGCTCACTCATTTACCTCATTCATTAATCTCATCAAAAGTGCTCTTAGGTGTGCATTGCGTGCTCTTAATAAACAACAATCCAATCAAATTCCACACCGATTTCATAATCAACGCGGATTGCTAGCAGCGCCTGGATTCTTCAGTCTACATGCAATATCGGCTATCACTATCGATATTTTTATAATCGATAAAATACATTACTGGTATCGGGTTTTATGGATCGAGATCGATCGATCGAGGATTCAATAATCGATCCGCTGGCGGACATGACGCGGGTTCCGTTTCGTGTTCAATCATTCCCTATTGTCTCGCTGCTCGGTTCATTTAGAATTGGATCAATGTTTGAAAGCAGTACTTGGGAGATTGCAACCTTAGGGTTCAAGAGAGCTTTAGTCTCTCACGACATGATTGATAACTTTAATAGAGAATTTTTAGGTGTCTGAAATTTCGGGAATTTCATCTTTAAAATGAAATTGCTAAGAGAACTTAGTACGAGGATATCATTGGTTTCTAAATTGGACTATTATTTAAGAAAATATGAGCAAAATAACCTAATCTGCTTCAATACATGTGTTTAAATGGAAAGTGCCGCCAGATGACGTCATGAGGCTGTATATTTTCTCTCTTTTAACTCTATTTTCTTCAATTTCCCACGTTAGAAAAAACTTTATGAAAAATATCGCGAAATCAGCTCATTAGGCACTCCCAGATGAAGCAATTAAATTTTTGTGTGCAAATTCTTCATTCTCACTAAAGTATCCTATATATTAAAATGCAAAGTTCCGAATCTTGGGGCATTAACTTTGAGAGAACCACCGGACCGATTTGCGTGATCTTTTTTTTAAATGAAAGCCCCTGAGCTGTAGATTTGCAGGCTGTGATCGTTTTTTCGATTATCTCAAATTTTCTCCCATAATTTTCTCAAATTTTCTTCGATGCATTAAAACGGAGGTCCGAATCTTTGGACGTTAACTTTGAGAGAACCACCGGACCGATTTGCATGATTTTTGTTTTAAATGAAAGCCTATGATCTGTAGATTTGCAGGCTGTGATCGTTTTTTCGATTTTCTCAAATTGTCTTACTTTTATCGACGAGTGAAGTTTAGCCGGGCTCAAATTTTCTCCCATTTATTCAGACTAAAGTCCGCATGTTGGGACATTAACTTTGAGAGAACCACCGGACCGATTTGCATGGGGTTTTTTCTAAATGAAAGCTTCTGATCTGTAGATTTGCAGGCTGTAATTGTTTTTTCGATTTTCTCAAATTTTCTTACTTTTATCGACGAGTAAAGTTCAGCTGTTTCGAGCGGTCATCTGGCCGCTACCTGCTTGCCCGTCCCTAGATACCCCCTCTAGGGTCTCAGCCACCCCTCCCACCACGTTCTTTCGGCTATCTCCGTTTTCTTTCGTATAGCTTTCCTCCCACCAACCTCAAAGAAGGTTTGGGTCGCATTGTCGTTCGTCACTCATCACCACCCACATTCCGTCGCAATCTCTCGGCTACTCCGCTTCACCACTTCTTGATAGGCATCCTGGCGGTTTGACTGACCCTGACTTATTAACTGCAGCGTTGCGCACACGTATTGCTAACAACATGTATTGTTATGGACATTTCATTCTTATTTGTTCTTTTCTCTTTACAACTTTGTTTCAAATTTGCTTGATACTTCGTTTCTTCCTCTCTCTTTATTTTGTTGGTCGGTCGACTACGTTGATCGGCTTTTTGCTATTGAAAACACATTAAGACTTCATGAAATTTCAATATCATCATTATTGATCTTCCGGAATTGCTTCCAATCAACCTGAATCTTCAAGGGTCGAAGCCTGACTCTCCTCCCCCTAAAACTATGATTCCATGATTTCTGCCGTTAACCCAGAGCAACATCAAATTATTTCTGAAATAATTAATCTCATCCAAAATCCATCTTACTCGCGATTTTCATTGATGGTCCAGGAGGATCGGGAAAAACTTTCGTTTAAGAATGTCTTACTGCGTATTGTACAGAGGAAAACTTAGACGTCATCTCCGTTGCTTGGACAGGTATCGCCGCATCGTTGCTACCTAACGGTCGGCCGGTTCATAGCAAATTCAAAATTCCTTCGGTTCTGAATGAGAATTCTGTGTCGAGTCTGACGGTTAGCTCAAGAGAGGCTGAGACTATTCGAAAAACAACGATCATTTTTTGGGGGGAAGCTCCCATGGTTATCACGCATGCTCTGGCATGCATCGACCGACTTCTTATTTAGAGAATGGGTAATGATATCCCTTTTCGAGGAAAAATTGTCGTCTAGGGTGGTGATTTTAGACAGGTTTTACCCGTTGTTCCGCATGCTTCTCGCCAAACATTGGTGCAAAATGCAATCAAATTCTCACCACTTTGACCTCTTTTCAAAATCAGAAAACTTACTCAAAATATGAGAACTTTGCAAGACGAAGCGGAGTTTGCAAAATTTTAACTCGAAATAGGTGATGGTGTTTACCTTTCTGCTAAAAAAGGCCATGCCGGAATTCATTGATTTACCGACAAGCAGTATTACTGAAAGGAATTGATATTATTACTGAAATTTATGGAAAATATAGCTTCCTCATGTTCGAACGTAGATTTCACAAACTGCGCAATTCTGGCCCCTAAAAATAAGCATTGCAATGAAATTAACGACAAGGTTGTTGAAGTTCTTTCAGGTGTCTCTAAAACGTACTTCAGTGTTAATAGGCTCATTGTAGAGGAAGAGGGAGAGGCTCTCAATTTTCCCCTCGAATTCTTGGACAGTCTTAATCTTAGTGGCTTACCACCGCATAAACTCACACTTTTGGAGGGGGTTTTTGTCATGCTTTTAAGAATTCTCAACGTTTCCAAAGGTTTATCGAATGGTGCCCGATTGATCGTCTGGAAACGTTATGAAAAATGTCTTGATTTGCAGGTCATTTCCGGCGAGAAGGCCGGTGAAAGAATTTCACTGCCAAGAATTGATTTGTCACCTGCAGACTCCTCTCTCCCTTTCTCTTTTAAGAGGCGACAATTTCCAATTCGCATTGCGTTCTGCATGACCATCATCAAAGCTAAGGGTCAAACACTGAAGCGAGTCGGCATTTATTTACCCCAAACAGTTTTTGGCCATGGTCAACTATATGTTGCACTCTCACGAGCTACATCGTACAAAAATTTTGAAGTCCAAATTCTTCCCAAAGGCAACCGTACGAAAAACATCGTGCACAAAGAGGTGCTTCGATCTTTTATAAATCCCAAAAGCCTCATAGTCATTAGAAAATTATCAAAAAATAAAAATAAAAAATAATTAAAAAATAACACAAAAAAAGGAAAACCAATAATGCGAGCTTTTTATAACATTTTTCGGTAGAATGGCAGTCTCCGCCCTGTAACGCAGAGAGGCAGTTAAATTCCTTGATCTTTTGCCGCAGAATCATCATCATTATTAAATAGATTCAACTAATCGCTCCCATTCCAAATAAGCTACCGCACCACTATTGCTAGCTGTGGAGGGCGCCCGTAGGGCGCCCGGAGCAGCTAGTTCTTAATAAGATACAAAATCCAACTTACTTTAGATTTTATACGAAAATTAAAACGTAGAAGAAAATAAAAAATTTTAAAAAAAAAAAAAAATAAAAAAAAATAAACGCCCATTTTGAGCAACGACAAAGGTTACTGAGGTGATATTCATCGAA